CAGGTTTGAAGGAAAGTCTTATATACCATTCGTGCAGCTTTACATGGTGAACAAAATTATCTATTACTCAATTGTTATGTACACTGCAAACAGCCTCGTTTTTTTTGAATATTACTGTTAAAAATCGCCTTTTCAGCGTAGCCCACGATAGCATTTCTTTTTTTTTGCCTTGAGAGAACCTAGACTAGGGGTTAGACTATGTATCAAAAGAAAGCTCTTTCTAAACTCTATTAAGTGGCTGGTTTCGTTTCTAGTTTAAAGTGTGCATATTCACTTTTTTAGATATTACTACTGGAAAGTGATGTTTTCGGCATCGACGGATACGCTCAATCCATATAAAACCTTCCACCATTTACATCGACCTTTGATGTCACCGACGAGACCCACTTCATCTTATAGAACTCAGCAAGCTGAACCGAATGGTGAAAACCGCAAGTCTCAAAGTTAGTTAGAAAAGAAGTTAAAGCCATTTTACCCTCCTAGCGGAAAAATGCATTTTCTGCCGGCTTTGATCTAACTTGTAGAACGTCTGCTGACCACATTTCCTACCGTAGAACCTTGAGATTGGTCTCAAATGGAAGAGCGCGTCAAGTTCTACATATTTCGACGAAGAAAAGTTATGCTTCGCCTCTGGATCTTGAGATAGAGATTTTTGAAAACTCAATAATTAAATTAAAATAATTAAAATTGGTTTCAGAAATTTTTCAACCATATCATTGGATAGTCCCTTCAATTCTCCACAAAATAAGCTGCTGACCTATTTTCTACGATGTTGTATCAAAAACTATCATGGAAAATACGATACAGATCGAAAAAGGCATTAAAACAAATGAGTTTATATTCGTAATGTAAAAAGCCTGTAACTTGGTCCTTCAACATCGTAGAAACTTGGCCAGCATCTCATTTTGTGGAGAATTGAAGAGGCCTTTAATTTATCTTTACATAGGAAATATGGAGAGCATTTTTTGAAATTCCTTTCCGTTGCTGATAACATTCACTTTTTCTAAATTAGAGGCGAAAATTTGGAAACTCTGCTCGTAATTCCGATGTTCTCCGTCATAACTCAACTTCTGTGCAATAAAAGTATCATATTCGGAATCATGACCAAAAACTCAGTCGATTAATGTGTATTTCAAAACATTTACTCGATTTTCAATTATATAATCTCGGTAATTTTTCAACGCCATCATCATTCAGCTGCGCACAATCTGGGTTTGCAGGTGACAATAATCTCAGATCAATTCTCTCGGTTGGCGGTAGCTTTCCTCATTTCGTCGACCGATGGCTGGGTATCGTTGTTGATCAGCTTTGCGATGTAGTCAGGATACATTAATTTTGGGCGGCCTTGTTTTTGTTTACTGTATCTTTATTTCGATGTGTGGAGAGCGTATAGGTTGTTAAATTCATTCGTCTCTCTTCGTAAACAGTGCCCGATGAATCTGAGCTGTCGACGTTGGATTGTTTGAACCAGTTGTTCTTGTCCAGTTGTTTTGTAAATGCTTTTGTTGGAAATTTTATCCAGTCTTTTGATGTTGAGCATTATTCTGTAACAACTGGTAGCAAGTTGTTGAGACTGCTTTTGAGCGTTTTTGTGATGACCCAGGTCTCGCAGCCATACAGTAGAATTGAGAGACATGAGCTTTTGAAGATGTTAACTTTCAGGAGGATTGAGACTGTGGTTGATCGCCAGATATCCTTCATCTTCTAGAAAGCGCCCCATGCTTGGCCTTTTCGCACCTTTATGTCACTCGACCACATCATTGATCCTAGGTACTTGAACTTATCAACCCATTCAATTTCTGCTTCATCGAGCTTGATCGTACCATTGTTTCTAGCTCGATTGGTCATCGTTTGAATTTTCTTGACATCGACTTCAAGGCCTACTTCTCGGACCGGTTTTGCTGTGTGGTTCAGTTGGGCTTGCGTTTGACTGAAGCTATTTTCTAGAAGCGCAATGTCGTCAGCAAAATCAAAGTCGTTGATTGTTGTTGTCGGTTGTCTGCTTGATTGTCGCAGATTTGTAATGAAACCATGTTCGCCTTTTTCGTTTGTGTTGTCGTGTTCTGCTTTCCTCATGGCGTAATCTAAGACGATGATAAAGAGGAAAGAAGCTAGTGTGTCTCCCTGCAGAACGCCAGTTGTAACGACGAATTCGTCTGACAAATTTCCTTCTATCAGAACTGCACTGCGAGAGTTGTTGTGGATGGCTTTGATCGCATTCACCATTTTGGTTGGCACCCCATAATGTCTAAGGATGTCGAACATTCCTTCCCTGTTAATTGAGACGAATGCGTTCTTAAAGTCGACGAATGTAATAGAAATCTGTAATTGATTGTTGTTGGCACTTTCGAGTAGCCTTCGTATGACATGGATTTGATCGATGCAACTTCTTCCTCTCCTGAAACCTACTTGATTAACCCCCCCATAATAGAAGACCACCTGGTCTTCTATTTTGTCTCTCAAGTCAAGTTCTAAAGGGTAGTCTTGCGGTCAAATTTTGTCGCCTGCTAGTAGTCCAACGGTACAACGTGAAAATTCGACAAAAACTAAAGTAGTCCTGTACAATAGAAATACACCTTGGTCGACTCAGCTTTTGATCGTGATTCCGAATATGATACTTTTATTGCACAAAAATTGAGCTCTGATGGAGAACATTGAGAATTACTAGCAGAATTATGAAATTTTCGTGTCTCATTCAGAAAAAATGCATGTTATCAGCAACGGAAAGAAATTTCAAAACAAGCTCTCCAAATTAATTTTGCCTGTGTAAAGAGCACAGCGAGTGTTTCTCTAATAACACGCGAACATCAGTTTTTCGCTCGTTAACTATTTTTTTATGAATAATTATCACTGCTTAGTCCTCTCGAATACTTGTTAAAAAAACAATAAACGTTTTTAGAAATAATCTGCCTTACTGGTTCATTGAAATAAATTGCGATAGATAGTTACTCGATCCAAAACTGATTATATTATATTAAAACATAATTCGATGTGAATCGATGCGCAGAATCCGAATATGTCCTTATTTTTTCTTTACAGTGTCCTTGGACTAAGAAAACTAGATTCCACCTGAAAAATCGGGCGACCATGGAAACTAGCCTGGGAAACTCTATAACCCGGACTAGGAAGGACGACACTATTTGGCGCCAAACATAGATGCAGCATAGATAGAGGAATATTTGTACAAACAAATGAAGGAAAGAAGTTCGTTACATTGATGGCCCGGTTCTCAGAAGTGGTTTTAGCGTAGAAAATAAATTTTTCTCGAGTTCAGTTTCGATTTCAATCAGTTTTTGTCTGAAAGTAGTAGACAAAATAGTTGTAATCTGTTATTAACACCCTTCTAAATATAAATATTTAAGTAACATTTATAAAAAATTAACTTTCACTTATAGTATCGATTTGAAGGCAAAGTTTTCAGCAAGAGTTTTCGAAAAACTGACTCTTCAACTTTGAAAAGCACGGTTTTCTCTTACCGAATTCGTTGTATGACCACGAACCAAATTTCAATGTGCAGTTTTGCGTATCTAAAATGGAACAGTAATGTGAGCTACAATAACCACGTCCGCAATTATCTTTTGTTACCAAATGGAAAATGCCCGATATCAACAGAACATGTCGCTCTAAAGACACCTGGAGGAACCGAAAGAACGCTGCCTGTGTGTTGTACGACTAAATTTCCCTTCATTGTCGCATCAAACTTTTCATCAGCGCTAAATAATCAAGTATGTACATAACAAATTTTCGCCTGAAATTCTGAAGAACTCTAACAATGTGAATGATCGAAAGTTCACAGGAAGTCTATGAAAAAACTGCAAGTTATTGAGACGAATTAGCTAGCACCATTCCTAAAAATCTTGCGTTTCTACTGTACCTTGTGTACCTATTTAATACATAAATACGAAATACTTCAAAGAAATATGAGTGTCTGTGAGCTATTCCTTAACCTTGTTGTAGAACTTTTTACGAGCTACTAATTTCATTATAAACGGTGTATAGCAGGTGTACTGTAGCGGTGTGTAGTTTTATTTGAGTCGAAAAAGGTCAAAACGCGCTGAATAGTGTGGGTTTTCGCATTTTATTTGAATTGTCGTGACCTTGTTCAGACTACGCGCGTTAATCTGAGTTAAGAAATTTGACTGATGTCGCTTCTTAGCAACTTCAATCATCTTCCTTAATGTAATTAATGGAATATCATTAACGCACGTTCATGACTGAGAGTAGGACGTCACCAGGCGTTCTTCAACCGCGCTTGCGGTTTTATCGTTAGTCGTTGGTCGTTAGGGGAGTTTAGTTTCCATATTTCGTGTGTTACTAAGTCATGTTATTTTGCGTTTAAGCTAGTCAACATCACTTCTAATTTCGATACAAGTCGAAGTAGTATCTAGAAAGTAGAGAAACTCATTTAGCTCAAAAGATCGAGGTCAGCGGGTCGATCCACCCTTAATGGGGATCGGTCGCTAGGTTTTCCCTAATATGTTATGATCCGCGGTGTTCACTTAATTGCTTTTTCCAGTAAGATGAGTAACTGGCGGAAAATCGAAGGCGACAGATCAGTACTAAAGTTGTTCATCTCGACTAATGCAAAAACTACCAGTTAATCTAACTTCTGGTAGATGACCCTAGATTTATGTATTTTTACTGTAAGAAAAGCTTTCTGTGTCGCGAAACATGCAAAATCATTGGTGTTAAATTTTTCTGGGCTTTTCCGTTGAAAAATAAATCGGCTGTGGATGTTTCTGTTAAATTAAGAGAATTATTTTTTGTTTTTGGTCCACCACGATTGCTTCATAGTGATAATGGAAAGGAGTTTGTTGCTAGCGTTATAACTGAATTAAAAAAATTATTTCCTGATGTTTGTTTTATACGAGGACGTCCTCGCCATCCTCAAAGTCAAGGTTGTATCGAACGAGCAAATGGTGTATTTTGTGATGCTCTTGGAAATTGGTTGACAACAAACAGCTCCATTCACTGGTCAGAAGGTCTTTTACCTGTGGTCTATGGAATACACAACAGTTTCGTGTGTCACGAAGAAAACATCATATGAAGTCATGTTTGGTCAGCCACCTAGCTCGGATTCTGAATTTTGGAAACTTGTTGATCAAAATAACATTGATGATGAGGATGATTTACCAACACCAGTGTCTGATATGGATGGTACAGTTGTTGACTGAAAAGACGATACGGTTGATCTGGTTGATAGCGACGTAATTCCACTTGTTGAAAAGTTAACGGACGATGTTGTTTCTAATTCTATAGTTGGTCTGTTATCACCAAATTATAGTACAGTATAATACAATAAAAAATGATGATTTTGTTTTCAAATTAGTTTGTCAATACGGTAAACTACAGAATGTATTCTCAGTTGAGAATCTAGTAGATTTAAAATCAGCCTGTCCACAAGAATTAAAACAGCTTAATGTTCATGAATTAAAAGATATTTCGTTTATCGAAGCATGCAAACTTCATGTACGTGGGGCAGTAAGAGGAAGCACGTGTGATTATAAATCAAAATGTGCCACAAAGCACTGTCCGTGTAAAAAAGCTAATGTCATGTTCGACAAAATGTCATTCAAAGCGAGGAGGTTGTTAGAATATGGGAGAATAGTGTGTCATGTGTCTTAAAGTGTACATAGTGTAAAAGTTTTTGATTAAAAACATGTTCTTCAATACAAACTAATTGTAAATATGATGATTTGCTTGCTGCTGTTATGAATAAGTAAACTTTTTGTGAATTTGTTGTGGATAATATGACTTTTCTTCTATAAAAAAAACCCCAAAAAACCCTACTACTTCGACGATCATGCCACCTTTACGCGGTGAAGTGGATAAGTATTCTGTTCAGCAAAATGATTCATTACCCAACAGGAGAAAATAAGAGCATGATTTTAGCATATATCATCAATTTCGTGACTTCGTTAGCCATGATCTCTGTTTTTCCCATTTTAATTCCAATTTTGCCTGACTTAGTCAAACTTAGAATTCTAATTTTACCCAGTCAAACTTGGAATTCTAATTTTGCCTAGGCAAGTTCGGAATTTGCATGGATTTCAAGTTTGCCTACAACATATATGTAGAGCATTTTCTCTAATAAATGTCCACAATGCCAGTCTTAGTCTGCATACTGCAGGAAGCGATAAGCATGAACTCACGTTAGAGTTAACTCGCGTAGTCGCGACATAGTCTATGAATATATATATGCTTGATTTCAAAAGTTTAAATCAACTGTTTATAGATATTTGTGTAGGATTTCTCACACACTACCACTACAGCTGAAAAGTGTTCATAGTTACTTTCTCCTGCACTTCTATGTCAAATAAGAAAATTCCGTTTTACAATAAGTAAACAGATGACCCCAGATTTATGTATTTTTACTGTAAGAAAAGCTTTCTATGTCGCGAAACATGCAAAATCATTGGTGTTAAATCCAATGTATACCTGTTGTACAGAAGAATATCTGGTGTCCATACTTTAGCACTAGGTAAATTAATTGAGGTTATATTTCCAAAGTCTGTCGGTGACCATTGCATAGTATAATCATGCCATGTCTAAGAAAATTGCCAAAGAAATATAAAAGCGTTTCAACTATCCTCCTGAACATACCAAGACCATCCAACCGCTGATTACAATGATTTCGTTTTTTTCATCCTAAAGTATATTTAAACTCATCGTAAGTTACCGGTACAATTGACAGTTTTTCTTGATGGTTTTTAGAAGATTTTAGGAATTCTACTTAAGCGACTCGTTATTCTAACGAGGGAACCTCTCCAGGTGTTAAATCGCTTTTCGGTCGGGACCATTGCCATTCGACAGGTCCTAGTGAGCAGTGAAAACGTCTATCTTGGTTTGGGTGCATGGGCCTCTAGGACTGAGATATTGAATTTTTAGTGAATTTTTCCTGCAAGACCCCAGTTTTCCAGCAAATTTATATTTTCTAATTTTGACCTGAAACTTTGCCAACAGGAAGACCTCAGCTAAACTAGCTTCCATAAAAACTTTCAAAACTTTTGAACAAAGTCTTTCTAAGACATGAATTTTTCAAGATATAGGTGCTTTTCCATAGATAGTGTATAAAACATGCATCTTTTGGAAAATTCATATCTCAGAAAGACTTTGTTCAAAAGTTTTGAAAGCTTTTATGGAAGCTAGTTTAGCTGAGGTCTTCCTGTGGGCAAAGTTTCAGG